GCCACGTGGTGTCTAGGGATGTGCGTGCTAGCTGGAATAGCCATGGGAAATGCAGGGTTATGAGTATAGGGTGGGATGCTCTTCGGAGTGTTGGTGCCGACTTGACGGGCCAAATGGCCTCTCTCTGCACTGTTGAGATTCTGCAATTCCACGAGCATGTTAACCTTAAAATCTTTTGTTTCCTTCACAGCTTGATCCCTGTCTTCCTTAGCAACTCCTTTGTTTTGTTTCCCCTTTTATAAATCCTTAAATTCTCTGACATTGGATTACTTCCGTTCCTTTCACCTGAAATTAGGACTTTCAGCTTCAGCATGTAATCCCCGGAAATCTTCCTCTGATGCTTAACCATCTTTTTGATACCTGTATTTTTGACAAAATCCTCTAATTTCTTCCCCTGGTCAGTTATTTATTCCATTTATGAAGCACTGATAGCATTCCCTATATAATAAATTGTTGCATGTACAGCAAACTTCTTATTAACAGGCACCTATGGAATCAGGAGTGTGCTGGTTGATCAAGAGGTCCGCATAATCAAGGTAAAACACATGCTGAGTAATAGAAACATTAATGCAGTGGGGTATGCACATCACGGTAATACTTTATGTACAGCATAAATCACTTAAATAATAAAGCAACTTTGCCTTAAATAAAACTTTACTGTCAGAGAGCCTTCTCACTGACACCCTTGGCTGACTACTCGGACATCATGGAGATCGCAATAATACGACAAACGTCCGATATTTCAGGTAGATCATTTTTGCCGGTTTACCAAGAACACTGGTAAAACAAATTTTGCTGAATATTGCCTTGTTAATATGATATTATACATTTTAAAAATAAGTTAAAATTTTAGATTTAAACTGTGCACGTACACCAGTGCCTTCAGGAGAGTAGGGAAGAAAGCAGGAAATGACCATAAGAGAGCTATAATTTTCAGTACAAGAGCCATGCTATTAGTATTGCAGCCTTCAGCTATTCTAGCCCTGATCTTGAGAATGCAGGGATCATGTTGCTATGTTCCTGTAACCCAGTAACAATGTATCACCAAGGACAGAATTCTGTTAAAGTTGTCAGTTGCGCATTAATGCAAGATCTGCCAAATATCTGTGGAAAACTGTATCCTGCTGTGCCATGTATCTCTGGGTAACACGTTCCAATGGAGTTATAAGACCATAGAACTTAATAGAACAAAGATTATCAATATAACCATTTGTGTCATCCGGTACAAAACTGCAACTCACGAGGTAGTCAAAGACCGGAGAAGCTTTGTCACGAAGACAGTAGTTAGAATGCAGAACTCATTACAACAATGAGTAGTAGTAATTATCTAACTACCTGTTAAGCAAGTCTAGGCTAGGTACGTGAGAAGGAAAGGAATAGAAGGTTATGACAGAGTTGTGTTAAGAGGCGAAGAAGAAGGAATGGGGTTTTTGTATAAACACAAGCACAGTCTAGTTGAGCTGAATTGCATATTTTAGAGTTGTACAATTTAAGACATCTCAGTGATTTGATAGGACTTCCACTGCACACAAATGAGTAATTCAGATAAGGGAGATCCTGATCCCCTCTGTAATTTTATACTGAGTTATCTCAGTTAGGACTTGGAGATAGCAAGAACTGCAGATGCTGCAGACAGAGTCAATACAGTATGGAGCTGGAGGAACACAGCTGGTCAGCCAGCATCAGAAGAGCAGGAGAGTTGACATTTCTGGTTGGGACCCTTCATCAGGACTGGTCCATGTTTCCCCGTGTTCTCAGTGTCAGGTATAGTGTCTCATCAGGCACGCTCTGATAATTGGGGAAACCACAAAATAAGTACCAGCAGAATATAGTAAAGGCTACTGAAGATTTGAGTGGGTGGGTGGTATTGGGAAGGGAAGGATCCCTGATGAAGGGTCTCAACCCGAAACGTCAACTTTCCTGCTCCTCTGCTGCATGACGTGCTGTGTTCCTCCAACTCTACACTCTATTAACTCAGGATTTGACCTGGTCAGAGTTCCTGGGCTTGAGAGAATAAACATCAGTCCAAATTCCTGCTGCTTGCTGCTATCCACTGCTTCTTGTTGGAAAGTGCATTGCTGTGGATGCCAAATAAGGATGGATTTAGCTTGGTGGTGATCCTTCCCTTCCCAGCACCACCCACCCAAGTCTTCAGTAGCCCTTACTATATTCTGCTAGTACTTAATTTGTTGATTTCCCCAATTGTCAGAGCATACCTGATGAGACACTGACGCTGAGAACATGAGGAAACATGGGCCAGAACCTTCAGGGAATTACTAGGAGGAAGAGGATGTCTGCAAAGAATTTTCTTAAATTTTTTAAAACATGCTATCATCATCTCTTGACCTGCATTTAAGTAATTTTTGCAATTACTCTTTAGTAATGCAGATTATATGCATGAACAAAGTATGTGAGAACTGGTTTCTGACCAAGTTTTAACTGACGAGAAATTTTATTTTTTTTAGTAAGAGTTTAGGCCACATCTGTTAGATAATATTTTAAAAAGGTGTTTGCAGTAATCTTGTTTGTTTCTTGAGTTCTTTGATGCTTGGTCTGCAAGAAAACCATTCTTGATCCCACATAATGTTCTTTGTTTTAAAAAAATCAGATTTAATACACAGTAACAACGCTGACTGTGAACTAGTTACATTTTGAAATGTTAGATCGATATTGTCTTTACCACATGAGAATGTGTTTCTGTTTTGCATAACATGCAGCCTAGTCATTTGATGGTTTTTATTTCGCCAGAAGTCTCCTGAGGCCACTTGAGTCATGGGGTAAAGGGTTGGCGGACATGGTAGTATCCATCCACCTTGTTGACATGTTTTCAAGAAGAACAGTCACTCTTCTTCATCATCATTATAGAATCCCTGCAGTGTGGAAACAGGGCCTTTCGGCCCAACAAATCCACACCGGCCGTCAGAACATCCCACCCAGACCCATTCCCCTATAACCCACCTAATCTACACATGCCTGAACACTATGGGCAATTTAGCCTGCCCAATCCACCCTAACCTGCACATGTTTGGACTGTGGGAGGAAATTGGAGCACCCGGAGGAAACCCACGCAGACACGGGGAGAATGTGCAAACTCAAACCCGGGTCCCTGGTGCTGTGGATGCCAAATAAGGATGGATTTAGCTTGGTGGTGACCCTTCCCTTCCCAGCACCACCCACCCACCCAAGTCTTCATTAGCCCTTACCGCCACCGTACCGCCACTCTTATTCAAGGCTAGTTCAGTATTAGCAAAATAAAAGCGCTGTGGGAATTTCCTGGGAGACTTGTAGAAATTTTTTGAACACTTCTTGGGCCTAGCTTACTATTGCTATGTTGCTACTTTCCTGACCATATTTCATTGCAGCAGTCAGTGCTTTACACTTCTTCATTGGCTGTAAAGTGGTTTAAGAAGTCCCAAGGTCATGACATATATCCATGTTGTGTAAGGATCTAGCTGTGTCATTAATCTCATTTTAGGTACTCTTGTTTTGTGAATCGGAATCACAGAGAACTTTACTCTGTGTTGATGACCAGGTTGCTGTAAGATAATAAAATTAGGAATTGAGGTTTTGGCGCAGTGATGCAGATATTTCTGAACTTTCTCCTTGACTATCTATTTGCAAACCACTAGAGGGTGCAATTTGTATATTAAAAAGTAGCAATGTTAATGGATACTGGAGATTTGAAAACTGTAATAAGAATACAAAATCTTCAACTTTCTACATTAATTAAAGCTGTAAAGTTAGAGCTTTAAGTGGAGACCAGAACTTAGTCTTGTGTCCTAGGTGACCTCGGCGTGTTAAGGGTATGCATTTGGGGCTGATGATGGGTGTTTGCAAGATTCAATTGATCTTGAAACTTTCAGACTAGGAGGAGACTGGGAAACAAACCTTTTTCTCAATTAATTTCTGTGATGCAGACTTAAAATTTTGTATGCTCAAACACACCAGTAGGACAAAGCTGACAAAACCAAAAGCCTGGTGTCAACTCTTGGCTCTCACTCAGAGCCAAAAAAATTTGGGGTGAGTACTGGAAGACTTCTATTTTGTGATGTTAAGCACTACCTTAGGGAAAGGAAAGGAGCAGGTATTACAAATAAAGTTTGTCTCATAGTGTGAAGCATTTTCTTATTTTAATTCAACATTTATAAATGAGTTTCCCCATTATTTATTAAATATATGTTGCACATGATTAAGGAGCAGAAATTTTCATTTTTTTGCTATGTCTGTTTAATCTCTACATTACGGTATTATTTTGCAATGGTTTATTTGGCAGAAATGTATATAAATGATTAGTTTGTTTTGGTTGGAAACAATGTGCATGTTATTTTTAAATTGCTGACGAGTTGCAATAGGGCAGTCTTAGCTACCTGTTGTACAAATTTATTTACCTGATTGTTTGAACTTTTAGTTATTACATTAGTCTTCCTGAGCAAGTAAGGCAACTGAAGAGCCAAAAACATCCACTGCTTTATTCCGAACAGTCATACTGTAATACAATAGAACTGTTTATTTTTGTAGCCAAACATAAAGTGACCATTTGTGCAGTTAGTTTCTTTTTATTCATTCATCGCTAGGCCGGCATTTATTCCCAGTTCCTAATTGCCCAGAGGGCAGTTAAGAGTTAACCACATTGTTGTGGGTCTAGAATCACATGTAGGCCAGACCAGGTAAAGACCTCTAAAGGACTTTGGTGAACCAGGTGGGTTTTTCCTGACAATTAGCAATGGTTTTGTGGTCATCATTAGACTCTTAATTCTAGATATTTGTTAAATTCAAATTCCGCCATCTGCCATGGCAGGATTCAAACCCAGGTCCCCAGAAAATTACCTGTGTCTGTAGATTAATGGTTTAGCGATAATACCACTAAGCCATCAACTACTCAGTTGTCTGTGGTATTTGTCAGTTCTACAATATTTAAGGCTGACCAAAGAACTTCCATCCAAATCATCTCAATCTGTAGATTTTCACAAAATTATTCAAGTTGTCTCTGTTCTTTTTAGGATGGTGGGTCTCTGGACCAAGTGCTGAAGGAAGCTGGTAGAATTCCAGAGGAAATCCTGGGAAAAGTCAGCATAGCGGTATGTGTATTAAAAGTAGAATTAGAGGTGTAATGAGAATGCAAATCTCATTTGAAAATAAAAATCCAATGTTCAGTAATATCTGGTTCTAATCTATAACTTGCCTTTTTATTATCTTCTAAATTTTTTTTTTAACTTTTAGAAATTGTAGTAATTAAAGACAGTAATAGAGTAGCATTTTGAACGTATCGGACCACTTCTGAGTATGTTGAGTTACTGCTCATCCTTCTGCAGACAGTTTAATCCCAGTTTTATCCTTCATTACTTTTTAAATCAACTGCAACATGGCTATAAGGGTTAAAGCTTGTCCTTATTGTTTTACCTCCCCACCAAGATGAAGACCTGTCTGCACTTGAAGATGATGAGTTTGGAACTTTATTTTAGAAAATCACGTATTTTTGCCTTACCCCACCTACAGAATATGTGAATAAGCTGCACCTTTAGGTTATAGGGTTAAATGAGAGACAACATAGTGTGGAGCCAGAGGAACACAGCAGGTCAGGAGCAGGAATGTTGACACTACAGATCAGGACCTTTCAGGAAAGTGGACCTTCCCAACCCGAAACGTCAGCTTTCCTGCTACTTTGATGCTGTTTGACCTGCTGTGTTCCTCCAGCTTCACACTGCGTTGTCTCTGACTCCAGCATCTGCAGTTCTTGCTATCTCGAGGAAGTGAGATGAGTTTTTCCCAATATTGCCTCCATAAAAACTAAGCCCGCTATAATACTAGGTCACGTGGATTACAAAATCTTCAGTTTGCTCTGAATTAATGGTCTGAGGGGCCACTATGTGTTCTCACGCCTGTAGGTGAGAAGGGGAGACTGGAGTTATCCAGAACTTGTACTTCTACCCAAAGATTACAGGGCACATTCAAGCTTGTGCATGCTGTATGGTGGCCAGATATACTCTGTTATTGTTCCCATACAATCAAATAGCCTGACAACAGTGAAACATAACTTAAAATCATTTAAGAACGTTCAAACAAGTATGTTAAGGCTGTACTGTGGTTCTTTTAGTTCACCTATACACCTTTAAAATTCCCACATATTATTTGGTTGCAGTCCTACTTCACAACTCTGTCTGAATGCTGAACTTCTTAGTCAGTTTTCTCAATTTCCAAACCAATTTGGAAATGTTACAAACAGGAATTCAGTGTGAAGTGTTAGATGGTTAAATCACCATGTAACAACTACTTTAGCACAAGTTGAATTTTAGATTTTGTCGATAGACTGTTTATCCCAGAGGAAGGCAAATATCACTTTGTACTATAAAAACCTTACTATTTGAGCAATAGATAATGCCAAGAATATAACTGAAAAGAAAAACAAGAGGGAGAACCGGAATGTGAACAATGAGTGTGTTAGTTTCTTTGCTAAGTTCCAGCTTCTGTAAATTATTTGTCAGTTTTGTCAGACATCTCTCCGACTGAGGGGATAAATACATGGCCTGCTTACGACTCCCATCGCTTGTTGATGGCAGCCAGGAGGCAGCAGGGATTACTTGGGCAGATTTTGTTTTAGACAAAATAGCTGTTTCTGTCTCTGGTAATTTGCAAACTGAGCAAACAGCATTTGATCCAGCATCAGTAACCGTTCTGTTTACACTCGGTGCTACCATGCTGGCTGCATTTTCAATCATAATGTCTAGCATAGTTTTGAAAACAATGATTCAGCTTGTATATTTGGTATCCTCTATAGCTTTACAGATTTAATATATTTCTTTTTAGTTTATCCTATGTTGGATGCCTGTTGTTGACTATAACCTTACACTCTATGCAAATCTCGGTACTTCTACTATGACACCTGAAGTTACAGTCAGAAGCTATGAAAGGGGATAAATGGAAACCTCAGAATATCACTTTTTAGGAGATGAAATAACTAACTAACTGAATATTTTAAATCAGCTTGTTCAGGCATACTTCTGGAGCAGGTGGGACTTGAACTCGGGCAGCCTGGCTTAGTAAGACAGGACACTCCCACTGCATTACGAGACCCCAATAATTGACTATTGTGGGCACTGATCCCTCTCTTTCTTATTGTACCTAGAATTTGCTTTTTTTTTCCTACTGTGACAGTAATGTTTCAATCACTGAAATTCCTACTTTGTATCTTTTATGTATCAGTTGGAAAACGTTTCTATTGTGGTAAAGTAAATAACCTATGAAATAGACACAAGTGACCTGAACATTCCTGTATCCATAAATTGATACCCCAAGGTATGTAGCTAAACAATCGCATAGCACTTCATGCAGGCTTATGGGAACATAACTTGTAATTTTGTGTTCTCATTTTAGGAAAGTAGAACTAACCTCCAGAATATTAACTTTATGATGCAGCTACTATGAAAATACCAACAATGAACAATGAATATAATTGCATTAGCTGGCTTAAATGTTTAAATGTTCCCCGTTCCGGAGCTTTTACGGTTGATGGGTCTCACTTACCATCTGACCCCAAGGACAAAATTGATAAGCCTTGTCAGGAATAATTCCTCCAATTCTCCATTGAAGACATGGATAATTAAATTGGAAATCTGAAAGAAATTAAGGCATTTTGTTTTAGTTCTCACTGCTATTTTAGAAGACATGCAATGTCTAGCAACAGCAACTTATACTTGTGAAGCATTTTGGGGTTTTTGATGCTACATAATTGTAATCAGTCAAAATTTCTTGGTAAAAACAAAATGTTATGTCACTGTTAGATTAATCTGCAGGACAAAAATCTAAATGTATGTAAACTAGTGCTGAATGTATCTTTTTAATTGTACTTGTTTTGCAGGTCCTAAGAGGTTTGGCATATTTAAGAGAGAAGCATCAAATCATGCACAGAGGTGAGAGGATATTAAAATTGGAAGCACATTGCCTCCATTCATATGTTTGTTCATGATAACTTATGGATGGACTCGAGCACAAAGAGTATAGAGGAATTTACAGTAATACCATGCCTGTAGAAATTGGATGTTACAAATGTTGGCTTGGTTCCTTGTGATCCACTAAATAAAACACACAACAGGTTTATAATTAGAGCTTTCAGTGATATAAAGGTCAACAATGCCAACTTTGCCATTAGGTGTTCGTATTTTGTTAGAAATGCTAAACTCTCTGCAATGCAGCTTAAGAGATAAAGGAGGCAGAAATACTGGAGTAAAAGAAAATGAGTCTGAAAACTTTTCTTGAAGCAAAGGAAGTGTATGACAGGCAAAGCAATGGAGAATGAGTTTCTTTGAATAACTTGCCAAGCTGGCATCAATGTCATAAGTCACATTGCAGCCTTCTGTGTTGTAAACCTCTAATGTATTACTGGTTTACCATTTATTCAGTCAATTGGTTAGTGTAGTATAAATTGTTTGGTCATGCTGAAGGAATAGCAACGCCTACACTTAACTGGGCCAATGGGTGCTAAAATAAAGGCTTTAAAATCACACTTCTGGAGTAAACTGTACACATTATCATTGCTTTGAAAGAAGTTTTTTCCAATTCTTTTATTTGTACTTCAATGTGTTCTGCAGATGAAACGAGAAATGACTTTAATAAGAAAGCATGTTGCACCAATCTTTAATCGGCTTCCTCTGAAATTAAAGTTTGTTGAAGGACAGTCACATCTTGAAAATAATCTTGGTTTGGTAGTGGGAAGGAGCAAGACGAGATAAATACAAAACCACATGAAACAGCAAATAAATCAGAAGAATATTTAAAGCAAGACATTGGTAGGCATTCCTTCAGGACTGTGTAATGATGGCTCTTGGCTCGTAATTATTCACTGATTTTTTTTTTTCTTTCATCCACAAGATGGTCCCACCTGTCTGCTCCTGGCCAATATCACCCCAAACCTTTCCTATTCATGTGTCTATCCAGATGTCTTTTAAACATTTAATTGTACCCACATGCACCACTTCCTCGGGAAGTTCATTCCACATGTGAGCCACCCTCTGTGTTTAAAAAAAAACAAAAATTGCACCTCATTTCTTGTTTAAACCTCTCTCCTCTCACCTTTAAAAATGTACCCCCTAGTCTTGAAATTCCCTTCCCCAAGGCAAAAAAACACCTACCATTAGCCCTATCTAAACCCCTCATGATTTTATAAACCTCTAAAGGTCACCTCTCACCCTCCTACACTGTAATGACAAAGGTCCTAGCCTGTCTAGCCTTTCCTTATTACTCAAACCTTCCATACCAGGCCACATCCTGGTAAATCTCTTCGAACCCTTGCCAGCTTAATATCCTTCCTATAACTGGGTGACCAGAACTGGACACAGTATTCCAGAAGAGGCCTCCCCAATGTCCTGTACAACCTCAACGTGACTTCCCAACTCCTATACGCAAAGTCTGTTCGGCATGGCATGGTTGGACCAAAGGGTGTGTTCCCTTGCTGTATGAGTCTATGACACTATGTATTCACTTAAATGTAAGCTAAATTTGTCAGTCATAATATTATAAAGACTGATGGTGTGAGAAGTATAATGCTCTTGGTCCTTGAATTTTTGCATTGTTTCCCAAGTAATTGCAATGTATTGATTGTGGGTTTTTTTGTTCGTAATGGTATTTGTGCGTTTCTGCAGCCATGGTTTGGTTGTATAATCCATGGTACATGCTTGGATTAATGCACTTGCATGAGCTAAGCTATCTACTTCATTTTTGCATAAAGAAGTGTGCCTACTAACATTCATTAGTGAGGAATCATTGCAAATAACCCGCTGACCTACATAATGGTCACTCTTCTTTCCATTCCACGTCTTTATCAATTTCACCACATCTGTTCCACTGCAATAAATTATTTGATTTGCTTTATTTATTATCACGTGTTGTATAGTGTCGACATGCTCCAGCGTCATCAGAAAAATAAATCCAAGCATAGAATATATAGGCAGAAAAATGAAAAAATAAGGAAAGTGTTCAACTTTACAGTCCTTCTTGTTAAGTACTCCACCACGTGCCATGGGCCTGAGTAGTCAGGCATGAGTCCCCTTCGCCATGCTGCTGCCTTTTGGAATGAAAGTTGCCACTCTTCAGCGCCAACTCGCCTTCACTACCTGAGTCCTTGCTGGACCTCCCCCATGCAGATGCCACTGAAGCTGTTGTGTACTGCCGGGAAACTCTCTACTCCATTGCCGTGAGTCTGCTTCGGGCCTACCTCGCCGATACAGCCACTGCTGATGCCACTGGACCTCGTTCTGGGCCCAAACTAACCTCCATGTGTCTGCACTGAATGCAGATGCCGCCAGGTATGCAAATGCTTCGCCACCCTACTCGAGTCCACGTCCCTAGGCCCAGACTCCTCCACCAATGGATGCCATCCCCACAACTGAATCCTTCCCAAGAGGTAAACTAATTAAAAGAGAATAAAAAAGGAAAACATGGAAAAGGAAAGCAAAGAAAAGCGACAGAGAGCACACACCCAGGCTCAGAAGTCCTCGCCCACAGCCACATTACTGGATATTTCTGGGAATGATTTGCTTTAATATGAAATGTGTTCTAGTTTTCCTTTTGAGGTTGTGTTCAGGTTTAAGTTTTGGATGCACTTTTCGATCAGTCATGCTGATTTCAACTCCCTGTATAGTCAACGTAGACTCTTTCCTTAACTGGAGATACAGAAGTGTGTCCTAGGAGCTCATGGTCGTCAGAGATGAAAGGGTAAGGACAGTGGAAAAAGTAAAGTTTAAATCAGTAAAGGTTTTTCTTAATATGGGCTGAAGAGATTTGTGGAAGTCATCTGCAATACCACCCAATTGAAAAGTTTGTGGGTTACTACTTAGATGTGGACTAGTTGGACCAAAGGATCTGTTTCCATGCTGTGTGACCCTGTGACTCTATTGGAAGATTGGCTAGGCACCAGTCAGCGAGTAGTAGTGGAGCCACACCCTGAGCACAGGCCACTGTCTTGAAAAGCAAAGGTGTGAGAATTTCTAAAGTGACACAGAGCCTCCAGACAGAACTGTACAAGCCCAAGTATCATGCAAAGCCCCATCAAACTGTCGAAATGGTCCCCTTGTTAGATAACATTAAGATTGTTGATGCATTTTCTAGCACAGATTTTCAATCTGCAAGGATGAGAGTAATTTTTCAATTGTATTCCCTTCTCAGTCTAGGATTTTTTTGCCTCTCCTGAAAAATTTCATGGCTCAGAGTGGGTATCAGACTATCAAATCATAGTGCTTCACACATTATAACAATGTTGAAGAGCTCAATGGATCAAATGGTCTTCTGTCAGCCATTTTGCCTGTTACATCAGTTTTACAAATGCCATAAATTTCAAAATCAAGTCCAAGGAAGTTTTGATAATCAGTCTCCTAACAAATGGGAAAGTCAGTGTTAAAACATTCAAATGATGGGTTGAATACTTCATCCTTTTACCTGCTGTCAAATCTGAGTTCCATAGACCCTTTTTTTGAGAAGCATCTAAACTCATTGTGTCCGATTTAAAAATAACTTGTAAAGAGGGCGGAGGCATCAAAATGGCAGCAGTTCTGTGTTCCTTCAGTTCTGATGCCTTCTTTTTCAGATGTGAAACCATCCAACATCTTGGTAAATTCTCGTGGTGAGATAAAACTCTGTGATTTTGGAGTAAGTGGTCAGCTGATTGACTCAATGGCAAACTCCTTTGTGGGAACTCGCTCTTACATGTCTGTAAGTCTTTGTTCTTTTGCAATTTTTGTGCTGTTTTATTATTAAAATCTAGCAATTTATGAGCAAGGTGACCTAACAAATGGTTCAAACTCTACAATGGCACAAAATGTTTAATGTGACCCTTTGTGTGATGCATTGTTTAAAAAAAAACTGTCATTTTAAGTGTTGTGGTCAGTCAAAAATTTTAATATAGCCAGATCAGTAAGGTAGAAAAATCAATCTCTTAAACAGTTTAAAATGGCTTTTACAGGAGATTTAGGTTAATAGATTTTACAGATTAATAGATTAGGTTAAGGAAAACATTTTTTAAAAACAAGGCGGTTTTAACTATTTAATTATGTAACTTATTTTAGTGACTTTTTAGTCCTATGTAAAGTTAATTTTGTTGTCATGTATTTCCAATATGATGGTACACTCAACCAAGGATATAGATCAAAACTAATCACATTGATTCTCACTGTCTCCTGCTGAAAATGCAGAATTACTTTACAAGTTTTTGTTTATTTTACAATAACTGCCATAATACTAATGTTGAATAGTCATAAAGTAAAATCTGAGTAGAAATCACTTTTTTTGGTCTTTTGTTTCCTCTGCAAGCTATTTATAACCACAATTTCATACAAAATTAGGGTATTGTTGCTGAAATATTTCACTTAAAAGCATATCCTAAGTTGATTAGTTTGTTGCTATGCAGCACAAATGAAAAAAGGAACTATTTTAATGATGTCCTGGCAGAACGAATGTCAGCCTTTATTACCTAAATCACATGTTTCCTGCCAGTCTGCAGATTGGGGGAGATGGTCAGGAAGTTAACTAACCCCTGAATATAGACTTATGGTAACATCTTGCCCAACATGAAAGATTCTTACATTCGTACATGATGAATGTCACACATTTTTTCATGCATTAGTTTTATTGTTCCAAGACTAAATTTAAAATGATGACTTGGGATAATGTTTGTTTAATTTGTTTACTTAGAATGCAATTTGCTAATATGCTGCTTTTTCTCTCCTGACAGCCAGAGAGATTGCAAGGTACCCATTACTCTGTGCAGTCTGATATCTGGAGTATGGGGCTTTCCTTGGTAGAGCTGGCAATTGGTAGATATCCCATTCCCCCTCCTGATGGGAGGGAGCTGGAGGCCATCTTTCAGTGCCCGTTGATGGATGGAGGAGGAGAATCGCACAACACTTCACCCAGGGCTAGACCCCCAGGGCGACCCATCAGTGGTAAGACATAAATGACTGTTGTTTATATCATACTTTTCACACTTTGGATTGAAGTATGTAATTGATCCAGACGCTTTCTTTCATCAAATTGTTACCTCAATAACTTAATCTTTCTTTAAGTACTTCCAAGTTCCATTAAAAATGAACAGTTTAAAAACTGTCCGTTCGTTCAGAATATCCCAGCAAAAACTAAACTAAATAGCGATTTGTCATACTCAATTGTTGAATCTGAAAGCAACTTGATGTAGGACATATCCTCACTGTTGATCAATTTACAATCAGAATCACTTGTTGTCTCTAACCTTTTGACTTTCAAACAAAAAAAAAGCCTGGGTGACTTCTCTTGGGAAGAACAAGAGTTTGAGGCTGTCATTTTGTAAAGTGCATGCTTCTCAGGGTAAATCAATTCCTTTTAGGTCAGATGTAACCTCTCATTGTTAAGGCAAAGGGAGGGTTGGATGTATTTTATGTACAAGTTGCTCCCCCTTTCTTTATTAATTTAAAAGCTGTTCTCATTAGCTACTTTTTTTTATCTCAATGGTTTTATTGAGTTTCCCATGTTCTGACCTGCAGTGACCTTTACTGAAGACTACCTCAGTGTACTCCAAAGTGTGTCCACTAATTTTTTTGCAGGATTTCAATGTTGATTTCTCCAATCTAAACCACATCACAAAGTCAAGTCATTATCTATTCGGTACCATTGCCACAAGCAGGAGTGGAAACCATAAGTTGTTAATGTCTGGAACCCTTGAGATCAACTCTGCTTCTATAGAAAAAGGAAAATCCAAAAGGCCACCACCTATTCCAAGACCTGGTTTTTGGATGGAGACTGTGGCCTATACACTTGGAAAACGACGTATATTGAAACAAAGGGGAAAGCGTTATCCTAAAAACTTTGTCCATGAATCGTAGAATCCCTTCCAGCGTGGAAACGGGCCCTTCAGCCCAACAAGTCCAAACCACCCCTAGGAGCATGCCACCTTGACCCATCCTCCTGTAACCCACTTAAGCTACACATCCCTGAACACGACGGGCAATTTAGCATGGCCAATCCACCTAGCCTGCACATCTTTGGACTGTGGGAGGAAACCAGAGCACCCAGAGGAAACCCACACAGACTCGGAAAATGTGCAAACTCCACACAGACAGTCGCCCGAGGGTGGAATTGAATCTGGGTGTTGGCACTGTGAGGCAGCAGTGCTAAGCACTGAGCCACCGTGCTGCCCTTCAGAGTTTTTGTGGAGATGTCCAGCAGTTCCTCGACATCTATTTGTAGCAACGTGCATACTGTTGTTAGTGACCTTTTCCAAATTAACTGACGTAACTAGACATTTATTGGTTTGGAGCCAATGTCTAGAATGAAAAATTAGAGCTGTACACAAATCAGTTGCCTTTTACTCCTAATTTGTTGCTTCAGGACATTTCGGTAACTATCAATAGGACCAGTACAATATTTAACATCTATATTGGATATAGTCATCTCTCTCAAACTTAAATAGTTCAGTCAAGGACTTTGTGTCAAGACTTAAGTGTTTCCAATTTTTAAAAATTGATCTTTGTATCCTTCAATGATGCATAGTGGGGATTCTTTCCAGGCATTCAGATCTGTAATATTTCTCACCGTACAAGTAACCACCTGATTTGTACTGGAGTTGAATCCCCAGCATTGAGCCCAGTGGGAATGTTTTTCTTTTGTCAGGTCACCATATTTCATTTTGTGCTTTTAAACTACTGGTTATAGGCATATGAAAGAAAAATTAGCATTTTCGTAGCATGTTTGATGATCTCACAATATCCCCCAGTGCTTTACAACCAGTAAGATACTTTGATGCATTGTCAATTAGGAAGGGGGATAAAGCAGATATAAAATTACATTATTCTTATCACTTTTGTTACTTTATGTGTAGAATTCCTGGTCAAAGCATAGGGTTTCTGAGAATAAAATAGCTAGTTTTATCATTGTTCAGCAGAAAAACATCATGATCCTACGTATTGTCCTTAACAAAGCACACCCATCTGAGTGTTTATAGTTTGGTTCTGAGAGAGAACTGAATTGCCACAAATCTAACAGCACAATCTGACTTCCATAGATATCGGCGTTAAGTCTGTGACGGGGAGAACACCCCTTCTCGGAAATCAGACAATGAATGTTTTTCAGTAGCTAGTTTATTCAATCATGTGCAGGGAGAGTGTTCAGAGACAAATCTCAGCAAACTCTGAAGACTCCTGGTCATGTCTGCACCTTTATACATGATTATAACTGATTCATCATTGGGTCTCGAGTCTCTTTCTGCATGATTGCAATTGCAACAAATTCCTTGTGTTTTAAAATAAGACAATTTTGGGTGCTCCCATTGTCCAGATTTTGCTGTCAATAATCTACTTAATGAAAAAGTGAGTGAATTTCTGACACCTTGTACACTCAACATGATCATTCCTTTTTGATACAGGTTGTATCTCCCTAATTACACAAGCTTTGGTCCAGCACCTAACAGGACTTCTGAGTTTCCCTGGAGTGGCATCTAGGGGCTCTGCATTTTCTTTATTTTTTACGCTTTGTTACACTTGGTTCTTGGACTCTGTCTTCCTTTCCGTCTCCCTTCAGAGATGGAATCAGTTCTATATCCCCTATATAAAGAGAAGCGTCATGTTTTAAATACACACGTTAGGACAGGGTAAAGAGCAATTAATCTCCTTTTAGTAAAATGTTTCTAGTGCGGTAATACGATATCCTGATTTAGTTTAGGTTATGTGAATAGTGTCTTCTGAGTAGATGGAGTAGTTTACTAATCTAAAACAAAATTCTGATGATGCTGGATATCTGAAACAAAAACAGAAGTTGCTGGAGAAAGTCAGGAGGCCTGACAGCACGTGTGGGAAGAAAGCAGAGTTAATGTTTCTAATCCAGTGACTCTTCATCAGAAGTTTCTAAAGCAATTTCTATTTTTGTTGAAGAACAGTTTACTCCCACTTTTAAGTCCACAGGTGTATCTTGGGTTCTTCAGGCTTAGGAGAGAACATATTGTTGTTTCTGGGGTATTTGTACACTTGTGGAGTTCTACTCCTACAGCTTCCCGTTCTGACTCCATCGCCCATGTGGCGGGCATCTGGGTCTTTAACTACTTCCCTTGTTGGAAGTGGCCAGTATTGTGAAGGTGCCAGAGCAGGGTTGGTCGTAGTAGGATTGGTCCTATTCTCAAGCTACCCTTACTATTGTAGGCTCTTTCTGGTGTCAGAACCCACCCTGGTGATCTTTACTTATAATGATAGCTCTTTGCCTCTCCTCATATGCCAAATTCACATCTATAAGCTAATTGGGCATCCTCCCTTCATGTATTTGCAGAAGATTCTTGCTGATCTGATTTAAGGCCGAGACTTCGTATAGAGTGCAGGAACAAATTACTGCAAATGCTGGAATCTGTACTGAAACAACAAATGCCGGAGATCACAGCAGGTCAAACAGCACCCATGTAGAGAAAGCAAGCTAAAGTTTCAAGTCTAGACGACTCTTCATTTCTGACATTCTGATCACTTAATCTGAGCTACACTCACTACCTGCCACAAACCCTCCCTACTATTGCATAAATGGTGTCCCCTCCACACTTCACTTCAGCTTTGATGAAGAGTTATCTCGACTCAAAACATTAGCATGCTGTCTCTCCACGGATCCTGTCTGACCCGCTGTGATCTCCAACATCTGGTGTTTTTGTACAGAGTGCTATAGGTTTCAACTAATGAAAGGGTGTTTAACATACTGCTCGAGGGTTGGAGACTTCTAATGGCCTCATAGAGGATCTTAGTTCCTTCTCCACCTGTCTTAGCAATGGTTTTAGAGTCTTCCCCAGTTGTTTGTGTCCCCTGTCTTACTTCCTCACAAAGTTCCTCAATCTTTAACAACTTCACTGTCTAAGTTGTTTACCGTTTCTATCTAAGAAGCATATCCTGCTCCTGCTAATTCCATTG